CAACAGCCCCAATTCCACCCAGATGAATAGATTCAGAATCAAAGCAGTCATTGTCCTATTGCAGACAATGAGAGCATTTGAGATGAGACAGTCCAACATATTAAAGCAATTTTATAATCAGACAGTTTATTGGTTGTCCTTGGGGTACCCCTTCCATTTGTTCTTGCAGCTCCCCTTTTACTATGCCTCTTACGACCAAGGCTGCCCACGTTGATTGTGGTTGAGCGGCAGCTGCCCAATTCACCGTGTGCCTTCACGGCTAAAACGGAAGGTATGCTCATGTGCATTTCTCTCCAGACCTTCATACTCCTGTTCATTTCACTTCAGAACTCCGTTCATTTCATTTCTGATCTTCATATCATCTGTTCTCTTAATGATGCTCATTCGTATTTCTTTGTTAGTAGCACAAAGGGAACGGAGGGGAACATGTTGGGTTGAGGAGCAGTTAATGCCTATGGCAAGCGGCCACCCTCGACAAACCGGACAGGACCGGTTTGGATGTGGACTATGGAAGCACCGCATCCAATTCTCGCAGTCACAGTTGCTGCATCGAATGGCGCGGCGCAGACAGGCTACGTGGCTCCTACGTGCTAGGAACACAGAGGCACGTCGACCGCAATTATAGAGGCATTGCAGTTCTATCCCCTGTCTACAAATTGGAAAACTCGCATGGACTATCCCTTCATAATCCTCACGGCACAAGGCATGCGAACCACATGCCAGTTGAATATCCGGCGGGTCATCACAACGCCGCATGGAGCATCTTTCTTGGGCCTTCCTCAGTATTTATTCCTTATCTATGGGCAGACGACGGCAGGGAGGAGCGGTCCAAAGCAAGGGCATTCAGCTGCTGCATGATTTGGTCCGCAACAACTTGCCCTGGTGGTGATAAACTATGAGCACAACGCTCTGCCGGTGGCTCATATAGAAGTCTATTTTCCTCCTCGGACTGCTGTGTCTGTCGTTCATCTGGCAAGAAAGAGGGAGATCCGTCAGCGGTTGTCGTAGGTGTATGACCAACACTGCATGTGGGACATGCTAGGAGAGGATGTGGAGGGTGATGGCACCGGGGATAGTCCACACAGTAAAGACACATACTTTCTACGACAGCTTCCTGGAAGCATTGATGACTGTTGCTGACTTGTCATTAGTATGGAAAGCTGACGTGCACAGGTATTTAAGCATGGCAGATCAAGGCCACAACCGCATGCTGGGCAAGTAGTCAGGGGGCCGGGCGGGTGGAGGGGGGAGGAGATGAGCACAGGACAAGTGATCACAGTTTTCGTGTGAGAGGCTAGCCCGATAATGTCATCGGAGCAGATCTCTAACCCCTGCAGGGGCCGCCGTGATCACGCCATTCAACGACAAACGAGGCCGCTGTCTTGGAGGCTCCGGTGGAGACGGGGATCGTCTCCGCCGAAGAGGCATCTGTAACGATCGATCTGACAGCGGATGCCTCAGCCGACAGGGCCTTCGTGACGGCCGATCTGACCATGAATGTGTTGATGGTGAGGAAGTATCGGAGGGAGGCGAGGAAGAGGGAGAAGAAGAAGAAGAAGTAGAGGAGAGGAAGAAGAAGAAGAGGCAGATGACTGAGAGGATGCTGCAATAGAGGACGTCGGTGGGGGTGGCGGTGATGATGGTGGTGGTGGTGCTGATGATGACGGCAGCGATGGCGGTGGTGGTAGTGGCGATGGTGCTGGTGGGGGTGGTGGGGGTGGTGGGGGTGGTGGTGGAGGCAGTGGTGACAGCAGTGGCGGTGGAGGAGGTATATTTTCAGCAGCAGCAACAACAGTCGCCGTATTGGTAGGATGCTGGCCTGTGTTCAAGATAAGTCGGATAATACAACCACAGCAGCATTTTTTTAATTTTTATTTTTATTTTTATTTTTTGTGGTTGAATCCGGCCATCCGGACCTGTTCATTCATAACCAGACCATCCGGGTCCGTACGTCCAGTTGTCCAGATCGGTGTCCGAATTACCGAGAACGTCTGGATTAATCCAGACACGGGTCCAGGCCCGGTGTCCAGTGTCTGGATGTCCGGGTCCGGGGCAACCATGAAGAAAAGGGACTACAAAAAGTCTACAAATGCTTTGTTGAGCTCCTCCTGTCCTGATATTTTCACAACTTTGATATTTGACACAAGTACCTTGCAAGCACCTCCCCTCCTTTGACACCTGCAAGTGAATGGAAGAATTGTCCTGAGAAAAATCAACAGTTTTGTATCCAATGGAAAAGGAAGCCAGGGACTTTGTTCTCTTCTTTTTCTTTTCGCTTCTGAAAAGAATCATTATGATTTTCGGATAATGTCATTCCGTTGTTCATGGAGCTTACCAGTTATGTTCCACAAAGACATATAGGTTACAATCCAAGAGAAATACATGACTACAATTCTTACAGTCTTACCTCTAGGTCCTACAGCGAGTGAATTATTATTGTTCCAAACAGGCGCTCCGGAGTTTGTTGTCCAAAATGGGGCCTGATGTGAGCTGGATGGACGGAGCTGCAGCAAGATGATTTGGCGCATGAGACCCACAAAAAACAATAATTTCTCAGCAACAATAGCTCTTTCAAGCTCATAAACATGAAAAGGGTTGCCCGAAATGACAACACGGTTGTGTGCACCCCATTTTTGGACAGGTGCACAGAGAGAGAGAGAGAGAGAGAGAGAGAGAGAGAGA